TTTGGTAGGATGGTCATTTTCACAATATTAGTTCTTCCAATCTGTGAGCATAGGAGGTCCTTCCATCTTCTGATGTCTTCCTCAATCTCTTTTTTTAAAGATTTAAAATTTTCATTGTAGAGGTCTTTAATGTCTTTGGTCAGGTTTATTCTGAGATTTTTTTTTTTTTTTGCAGCTATTGTGAAGGGGAGTGTTTCCATGTGCTCTTTCTCTGATGGCTTGTTATTGGTATATAGAAAGGCTACAGACTTTTGTAGGTTAATTTTGTAACCTGCCACTTTACTGAATGTGTTAATAATTTCTAGGAGTTTTCGGGTGGAAGTTTTGGCATCTCTTAGATATAATATTGCATCTGCAAAAGGGATAATTTGATCTCTTCTTTTCCAATTATTACTCCTTTAGTTTCCTGCTCTTCTCTGACTGCTCTTGAAAGAGTTTCAAGCACTATGTTAAAGAGAAGTGGGGATAGTGGACAGCCTTGTCTGGTTCCTGATTTCACTGGGAATGCTTCCAGTTTTTCTCCATTTAGAATGATATTGGCTGTGGGTTTGTTATATATGGCTTTAATTATGTTGAGGTATGTTCCCTCCAGTCCAATTCCCTCTAGGACTTTGAACATAAATGCATGTTGAATTTTGTCAAAGGCCTTCTCTGCATCTATTGAGATGACTATGTGATTCTTGTCTTTGAGCCCGTTTATATGATTTATGACATATGTTGACTTATGTATATTGAGCCATCCCTGCATCTCTGGGATAAAGCCGACTTGATCATGGTTGATGATCTTTTTGATGTCTGTCTGTATGCGGTTTGCAAGTATCTTGTTGAGAATTTTTGCATCTATGTTCATTAAGGATATGGGTCTATAGTTTTCTTTTTTGGTTGTATCTTTACCTGGCTTTGGTATTAGAGTGATGCTGGCTTCATAGAAGGAATTTGGAAGTTCTCCCTCCATTTCTATCTTTTTGAATAAAGTAGTATTGGATGTAGATCTTCTTTAAATGTCTGATAGAATTCTGCTATAAATCCATCTGGTCCTGGGCTTTTTTCAGTCGGGAAGCTTTGTATTACTATTTCAATTTCTTTCTGTGTTATGGGTCTGTTTAAGCTGTTAACCTCTTCTTGGTTTAATTTTTGTGGTTCCCATGCCTTTAGATATCCATTCATTTCTTTTAGGTTTTCAAATTTAGTAGCATATAGGTTTTTAAAGTATTCCCTTATAATGTTCTGTATCTTTCTGGTGTTTGTTGTGATGGTTCCCCTTTCATTTTTGATTTTGTTGATTTGGAGGTGCTCTTTCTTTCTTTTGGTTAACTGGGCTTCTTTTGGCATTGAATGTAAGCTTTATTGCATTGTGGTCTGATAGAATGCGTGGAATTATTTCAACCTTTTTTATTTGTTGAGTTTGTTTTGTGCCCCAGTATATGGTCGAAGTGCTTGATAGCTCTCTGTCAACTTGGCACACTTGGGTTGAGGGAGGCTCAATTGGGGAATTGCCTCCATTGGACTGGCCTGTGGCCATGTCTGTAGGCCATTTTCTTGATTGTTGAATGATGTGAGAGGGCCCAGCCCACTGTGGGTAGTGCCATCCCTGGGCAGTTGGGCCTGTGTTGGATAAGAGAGCAAGCTGAGCAGGAGCCAGGGGAACAAGCCAATAAGCAGTGTTCCTCCATGGCCTGTGCTCTAGCTCCTGCTTCCAGGTTCCTGCCCTGAGTTCCTACCTTGGGCTCCCTGATGAACTGTGACAGAGGAGATGTAAGCTAAATAAACCCTTTCCTCCCCAAGTTGGTATTGGTCAGTGTGTTTTGTCACAACAATGGAGAAACAAACTAAGGCAGTCGATTCTGGATAAGGTTTCATGGGATGCTGAGTAGAAAGTATGTCCTTTGGTGCTTGGGTGGAATACTTGGTAGATGTCTGTTAAGTCCATTTCATATATGGTATTGTTTAATTCAGATATCTCTCTGTTAACTCTCTGCCCTGTTGACCTATCTAATGGGGACAGTGGGTTATTGAAGTCCCCTACTATTAATGAGTTGGGATTAATCTGGGTCTTAAAGCCCTGTTTTTATGAAGTTGG